CCCCCCGCCCTGCGCCCCCCTCTCCCAGCCGTTACATTTCAGGCCGTGGCTCACAGCACCCTCCCCGGGCGATGCACAGACACTTTAATCACCCCGTAACGACGCCCAAATAAACCCCAGCCCCTCCGCACTCGGAGCCTGAGAAGAGGCACCCGGCTCTGCTCAGCTTCCCTCCGTGGCCACGGAGAAATCTGAATTTCTTCCACGAGAGCAGAAGGTCAGATTTACCCTCCAGCCCTCGGGCAGGGAGGCAGCCCACCCCGCTCCAGCAGAGATGCTCTGGTGGCCACACAACACTCCGTTAAAGCCCATTTTCTGCCCCCCCTTCCCCTTGCAGAGCAAGAGCGGACGCATGCAGAGCACAACGACTTTACTCCCCTCTTAAGAGTCTCCATCACGACCTGCCTCCCTGCCCCTCGTACCTGGGGGAGCTCAGCGGGACGCCCGGGCACATCTCCCCATGGCTGGAAGAGCCACGCTGCTGTTTGACCGAGGGCTTCGGCTCGAGCTCGGACCCCCCCTCTGCCTCCCTCTGCTCTCAGGAGAGTCACAGCTGAAGGTCTGAGCTGACAGCGCTTCGCTGTTCCACATTTTGGTTTTATAAGAGAAACCTAATTAAAATTGGCTGTCGGGCGATCCGCGGCTGCAAGGGCAGGCGGGCTGCGGGAACAGCGGGCTGAAGGGCCGGGGAAAGGCGAGGGGAGGATCGCCAAGTATCCTCTTTAACCGGCAGCAAATGTTTTATACTCCTTCCCACCCCGCGTTTTCTGTAGTATTTCAGCACCCGTGTTTCGCTAAGTACAAACCTGCTTTAAATACAACAGCCAAACGTGAGAGCAGGGTTTAGCTCACCCACCCCAGCGTGCCGCCGCGGGGGCGATGCTGCCTCCTGCGAGGGCAGAGGAGAAGCAACAGCCCTTCCCACTGCCCCCACCGCTCCCAGCTGCTCCCGGACAAGCAGACGGGGCCCTCTGCAGCCGGGACAGCCCGTGGGGAGAGCTCGCCTTTGGCCGTGGCTTTCGGAGAGACACCGGGTGCATTTCACGGAGCCAGATACCAGTCCCGTGGCCAAACGGCGGCTGGCTCGCTCCCGGCAATGCCAGCGCCCGCTCTGCTCCTGACTTGCTTGGTTTGTACCTGGGGTACGACAGCACCAGACCCGGGCAGCATCGCTCCCACGGCGAGCTGGGAGCTGGGCAGGAGCTGCTCTTCCCCTCGGCCGCGGAGATAAGCGTTCAGAGAAACAGCAAATTAACGCTACAGATAAAAGCCGCCCGAAGCAACCTCGCTGGGAGAGCTGCCCTCAGAGGCCAGACTGCAGAGAAACAATTATTTAGCAAGCGACAGTGGCAAATTAAAGCAGCGGGTGGCGGGGAAGCAGGGCCCTGCGGACACTCCGTGACCGTCAGCACCCACAGCGCCGAGGTGGAGGATGCTCTGCCTCCGTCCTCCCTCCGCAGGCAGGGACGCCCGACGCGCTCCCTTCCCGGCAGACCGCGGGGGCACCGAGACCGTGGATCTGGGGCGGAGAACCACAGTACAAAACCATTTATCTAAGAGTTGTGTAAAGAGCAGAGGGAGCCGGGACTGAAGACCCTGCAGCCCATGAGGGTGGTTCGCTCGCCGTTTTCCAAAAGGTCGGTGCGTACCAGCAGACTACAGCGCTGGTTGGCACCGCTGCTGCCCGCTGGAAAGAGCGACTGCCGCTGCTTGAGATGGCACCACGCGTGGGTGGCAGCTCTGCAGGGGCCCGGGAACACAGCGATCCCTGCCTCTGCCCTTCTGGGATCTCTCCCCACATCCCGCAATCCCACGTGAAACCCCGGGGTCGCGTCTGAGAGGTAACGCCACGCACACAGCTCCACGCAAGGATGTGACTATGTCATATAAACTGTTCTGTGCGCCCCTCCATTGCACAAAATTAAAAGAAGGAAAGGAAAAAAACCCCGCTTTTTGTTGGTTGAAGGTTCCGAGGGTGCCCGTTTGGTGCAGGAGCAGCAGCAGGCTCTGCCGCAGAGAGAGCAAACGTGATTGAAGCGGAGAGGCGGCCGCTGTCGGAGGCAGCGCTCACTCCGGCTTCATAGCAGCAGCATCCCACCAAAAAAACGGAAACGTCCCTCCCCTTTCTTGCTCACAAATTTTAAGCCAAAGCTTAACACAGCGGGAGATTGTGTGCTCGGCTCAGGGGAAGAGCGAAAGGATTAAAGGCGGCTGAACTCCCCCGATGCGCGCCTTACCTGGCACAAGCTACAGCTCTGCCTCGGGGGTGGCCAGAAGCTCCCTGGGAGGCAGCGGATGTGCGAGGAATTCATCTCCTGGAGGGAAAAGGCTTTTCAAGGGGTTTTTCAAATGGACACAAGAGGGCTAGAGCGGGTGATGGGATTTCTCCTGTAAGCCTGGAGAGCAAAGCCTCACTGCCCCGCCTGGGGGGGCAAAGGGAAGCGCAGGAAGGGACCGACTCACCGAAGTCCCCGCAGCAGGTTAACGTCACACCTCGGGTACCTGAAACCCGCGGGTTCCGACACCTCAGCCCCTCCGCTCCCCCGGTGCTCAGCTCCTGAGTCCCTCTACGGAGCTGGGTGCCAGAGCCGCAGCCGGCGCGGGGGCTGGGGGGGACGTACCCCGGGCACAGCTCCCCGCGAACCCTTCACGCGCCACCCAGGACAGCCGCAACGGTTCGCAGCCGAATGAGCTGAGACGTGCAATTTCCGCAACAGCGATGTGCAATTTCCACATATAGAAATGAAACAAGCTTGCTGATACTATTTACATTTTCTACTCATGCTTGTTCTCCAATCTTGAGCCTTTTTGGTGCTAATCCACTTCGGCACAGCACCGCCTGGTGAGCAGAGCCACGCTCCCGAGCCGGCAGCACGGGGCAGGCAGCTCACGCTCTCCCAGGACGCCCGTTTTACGCTGACACGGCCAGCGCCCGGCCCAAGGCAAGGCAATAGGTGTTCTCCCTCTTTTGGCATCTCAAATTTAAGGAAAATTGCTTCCTATGCAGCAAGGATACAAGCGAGTTAAATACTGAACGCCCACAGCTTTCTCTAACACTCCTTATTTTTATGTGTCACATTAAATTCCCTCAGTGCCAGTCCGTATTCTCAGAGTACTTAACAAGGAGAGACAAAGCATAGCAGCTCCGAATAAATCATTACAGTCTATTGTGCATGAGCCTCCGCTCAGAGAAACGTCCTTTAAACCCATCCAGATTTCACCTCCTACAAAAAAAAAAAAATAATCTGCCGCTAAAATAGAGAATTAAATGCAAACACGCTGGAGATCTTTTAACCTTTGCCAACCAAACAGACGAGCTGTTCGAACCAGACTTTAAACCTGCTTGTGTTTAACACGCTGTTGAGACAAAAGCCACGGGGCAGCGATGCTCCTCCTGGGCCACCGCTGCCACCTGCCTCCGAGCCACGCTCCTCCGGCGCGGCAATTGCTGCGGGTTTGGTTAGTGCCCTGCTCTGCTCGGGCTCCTGCCAACCCACCTCTCTGCTGGACCAGCAGCCAACGCGCTAAAAGCCCCCTAAGCAAGGAGGGGCGCCAGCCACCGAGACCCA